AATTTTTTTAACTTAAAATTAGCTCAATATTATGTTTTGAGTAAGGAATTAAGAAACTAATATGTCCATAAAAAAATTTAGGTGAGTATTATAGATAAGAAATATTTGGACAAATTTATCCTATTAAATTTAGTAATTATTGCTGGTAATAAAGATCCATAAAAATCAGTGATGGAGAATATGGAAAACAAGGTTGGCGGTGGATCTCGAAAAAGGAGGAGAAATACGTATAGTTGACTATATTCGATTTTATTTTATGTTGTTGTAATTAGCTATAATTCTAATACCGTAGTTAACTATTTGTTTCAGATGGCAAAAAAGACTATGGTTGTTGTGATGTTGGGTGAATGTGTTGTTTTGGAGACTGGTGTTCGGGATTTCAAACCTAAGTAGGACGAGTTGTTCAAATGTGGTTATTGTGTCCGTAGACAGTATAGTTAGCTATGTCATGAATATTGTATATATATAATTAAGTATTTAACACATATATCTAACTATCTCTTGTTAATGGATAGTATAGTTAGTTATGTTATGAGTATTGTGTAAATATAGTTAACTATGTAACACGTATAGCTAACTATCCATTGTTAATAGANANTATAGTTANNTATNTCATGNNTACTNNGTAAATNTANTTAANTATGTAACACGTAACTATCTCTTGTTAACGGACAATATAATTAGCTATGTCATGAGAATTCTGTAAAGGAAAATTTTGGATAAAAAAAAAGTTTTTATTTTTACTATTTAAATTGTAAAATTCTGTATTAATTATATGAGGGCAAAACTAGAATTAAGTCTAACTTAAATGCTAGTTACTATATTATGTTTTACATGGTGTTAGATAATTAATTATAGGTGGAGAAACTAATATAGATGCTAATTTCTCCAAAAAAAAAAGAATTAATTCTTAAATTTTAAAAAATTGAGAAAAAATATACTTAGAATATTATTTTTTTGTGTAAAAATTGATGTAATACATTGGAAAAAAACTCAACACCATTTTAATGTTACATCATTTCGATGCAAAAAATGATATAATACATTGGATATACTCTAGGATTAGATGTTATATCATCATTTACAAATAACGGTGGATCTAACCGAAATATAATTTCAATAATTGGTAAGCAACAAAATCGCTTAATGGTGAAAATTCTACAGAATTGTGATTTACATTTAGTAGTAGTTTTCTCAATCGTCAAGATATAT